GTCATGAACAATTTAATGTAGTAGATTCCTGAATCTGGTTTCTTCCTCTCAAAAACTTTTGATTTTTTTGCAAAAATTTTGCTTTCTAGACTCCTCCAGAAATTGAACTGCTTCCCCGAATAAAAATTTGAACAACAATTTCAATAGCATTTAAGAAAATGGCATATAAAACTGGCTTTGTGCTCTTGCAGTTCTTTGCTCTTCTCAGATCTTTGCTGTTTTTGTCAAGTGCATCTTATCTTAAATTTGTTTTGAGGGTTTAAACTCTAAAGCAATGGATTCAAGTATCATTATTTGTTTGAATTTCAGACAAACGTGGAAAACTACAATTTCTGACTTTTTAAAATAATTGTATAGAATTTTTTATGCTGTCGTTTTCACTCATTTTTCAAAACATGGGGTGCGAATTGAGTACTAAGCTTTTTAACTGTCTAATATTTCGTAAAAACAGTGTGATCTACCCCAAAAATGATGCCTATTAAATTTGCTATGTGTTGGAAAGTCAATCAAACATCATCGGCGATAATTTTTCGAATTCTGGCAAACAGTACATTATTTGTTGTATTTCCTAGTTGCAAAGGACGGTACCCATTTTTGATGCCCATTATATATTTTCTGTTCATTGAAATCCACTTGCTCATGTGTCTATAAAACAGATATTGGTTGCTGTTAATTTCCTATATTTCAGTGTATATTTATATGACATTCTTAACAAGTTTTACAGCTGCTTTAATGAAGCTTATAATTTCACCCTAGTTTAATGATTCTTTATCATTCATTTTTAATGCAGTTTCTCGAATAGCCCTTGTTTTCCAGCTTGTCACAATGAAACTATATGATGAAAAGTGGTCACATTAACTGTCATCAATTCATCAGAGATTAAATCATAAGAGAAAGTCAAGCTTAATGACATATGATTTCTATATTGTATGTCATAGAGTTCAGGACATTATTTCTTTAACAGCACTCGTACTCTGAGTGAGAAGAAAGCATCATGATCAGTGAGTGAATGTTTTACAAAAAATCTGCAATGTTTATGTTATGTAATTATGTTCACTTATTTTGTTATCTCAATGTTGAAGTGCTAAAAATTAGGGAAAATAATAATATAATTGTCAGGTAAATTGAATAAAAAAAATAATGCAAGAATTTGTAAAATAATACAAAATTAAAGTAGTAAAATATAAGTAAAAGCAAAGCCCCACATTTTTAGATTAAAGAATAGCTTATATCGATTTATACATATACACGTAAGTAAACTGTAATTTTGATTTTAATTTCAGTTCTTTTAAAATTTCAGGGTTTTTTTAACTTGAAAGTGTTTTGCCTCCAAATTTATATGTGAAAATGTAATATACAGTGTTCGATTTGGTACTTTATTTCTATAAAATATTTTTTCATGATTGATTTGTACGTCAAATTTACATATGTTAAAAATTTGTTTATCTTAACAAGCTACATATATTGACAGTAAGTATTGGGCAGTTGTGCATAATGCCTTGTATATTGATTTAAAAAGCTCTTTTTCTTAATTCTTTTTGCTATTATTTTTAGAGAAACGAATTCCTTCAGAAAATAAAATTATGACATTTTGTATTATTCATTTTCCTTATCAAATCGAAAGCAATTTTGTTCTTTAATGAGGAATGGTTTTATAAAAGGTTGAAAAATCTTATATATACTATCGAGTTTTGAAAAGTTTTTGTGATTTTACAAATTCTTAAAAACTTTTGAAAACAAAAAAATTAGGAGACAAATGAAGGATATGGAGATAACGAACAGTATTCAATATCACAGTCCATAAAACAATACAAAACAGGAGCTGAGCAAACAAAGACCTTTTAAACATCAATGGTGGGATCAGGTGTCATGGAGGAGTGAACATCCCCTGCTGACGATCACACCCGCCGTGTGCTCCGTGTCATGAATAGGAAATAACGGAAAAAATCCGTCGTCAACTCAGTGTATAAATAATGGACTCATAATTTGTATGAAAAACATCCGTCAGCATTTGACTCAATGATAAATTGTATTAAAGTATTGCTTTTTATTTTAGAATTCCTTATCAAAAGGAAAGCGATTGTAAGTTTGCTACTTTACCTTTCTGAAACACTGCTCTGCATGACTGCCTCCATTATGAATACTACAGGATCTCTTGTAATTATACACACACCCTATGAATGTTTTGAGACACGTGATCTCTGTTGGCCTATTCAACGGTTGATGCCGAAAACAAGTTTTAGAAAGGAAATTCGACAGTAAACCTTATAAAAATGTTATCTACCCTTATCTCATCAAAGCTCTATCCTGTTATTAATTTATCATCAGTCACCTCTTCCAAATCCATGGATTGTCTGGATCCATGGATTGACCTGCTTTAGTCAGAGTTAATGAGAACTACCAATTAAGGTTTTATGCCTTGCTGAATAAAGAAAAAAGGTTCCAAACATATATGTGTGGAGAGATACATACTGAGTAGCTAGAGTAGATATTTTGTAGTGTGGATTTGCTCCTTTCCCATAAAAAGGTCGAATTGCTTCAAATTTATTTAAATCACAATAAAATGTTTAGATGCAAGATATACCGGAAGAAATGCATAGATCGTAAACATTTATTATGAACCTGCGTTATTTCAAAATAATAAGGGAAATGCCCCTGGATAAAGGAAAACCAAGATACCGTTACCATGCAGTGGCGTAGCCAGGCCACTAACGATGTGGACGCAAGAGTAGGCAGGGGATTTGGGGGTCTAATGTCCCCAATGGATCCGTGGTTAAGCCCTGGTGAGGATCCAGAGGGCGATCCCCCCGACAGCTATCGAATTTAGATGAGCATATTCGACTCTCCTGATCGCATTTTTCTTAAACTTTGAAGTTTGTTAACACGTTATGCACCCATGTTTTCGAGGACTGTTTTGTTTTTGTAGAAAATATGGACAAACACTCTAAAATGAGAAAGGATATGCCCAATACATTGTATCATTGTTTATGTAATATGAAGAGCCCACTTAAAACAATTTTAGAATTTTGAAGAGACAAAATACTTATGATAATTTAATCGGTTGGAGTGGTACATGCATATGAGAATGTAATGCACTTAGAAAAAAAAATCAGCAATACGTAAACCAGATTCAAGGAAAACCTAATGATTTCAAAAATAGAGATGTCTACTACATGTATCGTATTTTCCTCCAAAACTGATTCTGTTAATTTCAGTTATTATTTATCGTTTAAGCCCTAATATTAAGACTTTATATAATTCATGCAGTTTTCATTCAATAGAATAGTCCAGGAAAAGGGCGCAAAAACTCACACGTGACATCTTAACGCGAAATGATTGTGTCACCCCTTACCTAGAAGACAAATGGACTAAATAGTATAGAAACGCAGAAAAAAAGGTTAAACGGACATGTCTCTCTAAGAACTCGCATGAAATAAATACCTGCCACAAAAAGCTAAAGGAAAAAATACATCAATGTATTGTATCAGCAATATGGTTATTTTTCTGCTAACTGTTGTTGCTGAAACGCATGTTACAAAATCCGATGATAATCTGCATGCACAAAATTTTACTGGCTAACTGTGACCTCTTAGCTTCGCACCTAGGAAATATTGATCCTTAGTTAGTGCCTGACGCCGTGACGTCAGGCAATTATATCCCCAGTCCAGAGGTGAACAAAGATTGCTTAATATTGAAAAATTATCTAATGTACTTTTAAAAAATATTAGCATTAAACTGCAATAATTATATCAGATAATAAAAATACACTATTAAGCAGAGACCATATTACTTATTAATGTTTATAACACCACAATGTATTCCATTTTTTATTTATAAAATAATTTACTCCGAAGACTACATATATGGTGTCAATGAAAAACTCCAAAATCATTTGAATGAAAACTTAATTAGAGTATTCGTGTTTAAAATCGGAGTGATTTTTAAAGAAGTAATTTTGCCCATGACCAGTCACAAAATTGGAAAATTACCGAGTACCGATTTTATTAAAGAAGTAATTGTCTATGATATCAAAGAGCCTTGTTAAGAATCATAAGTTTACGAATATGATTAGCAAGTTTTCGAATCACAGACTGACGCACGCATCATGTGTCAAGGAGAATGTTAGATGATGGGATAAATATAAAGGAGAAGTCTTACGCATGTTGTAAGAATGGATAAAGATTTTTTTGATTTACTACAATGAATATACAATGAATGTCACGCAGGCTCCAGTAAATGTTCGACCATGTCGATCAAGATCCTTTTTGTTTACATATGTACTACTCACCAAAATATATCATGTAATTGGCTATGAAGACGAATTTTCAGATCTACGATCTCACAAAAATGTGGTATGTATGTCTTCTGGATGTCAACATAGTGAATCTGTGCTTTGATGTATTTTTCAACTTCCAAGGAAGGTACATGTATGTCAATTAAATAGCAAGATTTTTCAGAAAATTAAGCATGCAGATCATAATCGTAAAAAGTTGGTTTCAGTGCGTTACATATTACATTATTTATATGTACCGTACGTCACAGTACTTGATATGGGGGATTTATTCATCTCTAGAACAAGTCATAATTAATAAAAGCAAACATCATAATCAAAATATCTAAATAGAAACCAAATTAAATACAAAATTTTTAAAAAAACGTGGGTTAATTTTTACACTTTTTATTCGAAAATTTAAAATATTTTTAAAATTGAATCAATTCAAATATTTCTCTATGAAATACCGGTATCATTTTTACTAATAATTTCTTTTTTTTTTTCAAATAGTGCAAAGGAATAAGATATACCGGTATTCAAAAAAAAAGATAAGTTAGAAGAACAGTATAAGAGAAACCAGTATTATGTCATTGCTGGAAAATATTCCCAAATGCTAAGGAAATATTTTTACAGAAAAAATATAAATATGAATAATATTGGAAATTTGAATTCATTTTTACATGTACAATGAAAATGGTGAAGATAAAAATAACAGTGATCAATCTGAAAAAAATCTATCAGCTATACAAATCAGTGACGAGGGTCTCTGAAAATTCTAGAGTTGGGATCAGGAGCCTTAGAAGAAAAAAACTTCCCCTTTTGAACAAGAAAGTGTTCATTGAACAGAAAAAAAAAATCAAAAACGAAAATCTTTGAAGATAATGTCAGTACATTAAACATGGTAGAAAAGTGCTTTATTATTATAAGTCACTTTAAAAAAAATTTAGTAAATTACAATTGTCTTTGAATCACTTGATGCATTAGTAATAATTAAATTTATCCCATAACGCTCTTTTAAATATAGAGAGTTTAATTTCATCTGAAAAGTCAATCAGAGCACAATACATCAAAGTTTTATTGCCACAGAGAAATAAACTAAGTGGGAGTCACACGAACACTGACATGTTCTTTAATCATAAAAACTTCTGCAACAACACAAACAACCATCACACCGATACTTAATCCATAGGCAAAGTCCAGCTGGGCCCCGGGGACGAAGGACTGGACATGGTGGAAATTCCCGGCGTAAGCAGTGGTAGCAACGAGTAACAGAAGTACTAAAATAGAAAAGGAAATTAGAGATTTATAAGGTTTTTTTTAATATTAGTTGCATTTTGGACTCGTTCGAACATTGGTCTTACTTAATAGTATTTTCTCTCTTTGACACACAAGAAACCAGAATTTCATAAAACGTTCTCCCTTTCAGTGGTTAAGTTTTAAAGATTCGATTCCGCCATGTAAAAATAACTTCTTTACTCCTCAGCTCTGGAGGAAACCCTCTAACTACTGCACCAAGCAGACGACATCTGTTAGTTTAATTTTACAGTAATAAGGAATTACTATGACTGATTAATTCATTGAATGTTCTTAACGACCTGTTCGAGATTTTTGTCACTCGTAAAAAGACGTCGCCATATAGCTGCAAAAAGGTTTCTTATTTCGACCTTTACTTGGCACTCGGGGCCATTGAGCATTGAGGTTTCCTAACCGACCCATGAAATAGTAGGTCTCATCGGAAAGCTAAAGATTTTAACAATAGTGATCCATTCAAAATATTTTTCATAAATCTCTGATGTTTTATTTCAAGGTTTCTTTCTTAGTTTTGTTTTCTTGCTGTAGAAAGAAGTTTTATTTCAAATCCATTATATTAGTAGAAGAAAAAAAAATTGCAATATACCTGCAGTGCCGCTCAAGGTTATACTAGTTGTCAAAGAAATTCCTTGATAATTTTGAGTTATTTTACGGCCGAGCATGTGGGCTGCTCCCATCATTAAAACCAAAACGACAATAACCAGAACTTGAAGCCCCAGTAATAAACCTGAAAAAGGAACAGAGATCACCCCGTAAGTTGTTTGGCACGCTACATTTGGTTATTATTGATCCTAACTTGAATAATTGTTTCAAAAAGTGTAAATTAAAAGTTATCTCAATACATAAGAATTCTAAATAAGAAATTAACATGGCACTGTGTCACGATTTCATAGAATGTATATGATAAACTGCAGCATATTTTTGGAGATCTAACATTTTAATAAGCCTGAAGTCTCAATCAATACGTACCTTTCTGAACATCTGTCAGTAAATGGAACTGGCCAATATAATGGCACTCTATTTGAGTGATATTCGTCAGGCAGTACATCCAGACTCCAATGCTAACCTGTACGTTTTTGTCGGTAATTCCAAACGCCCAGTAGGGGGCTGCTAAACTAATAAGGTACAGAAAAAGAGCCAAAAACAACAACCCAAAACTTATCGGTGACAATTTTGGATGGCCAGCCAAGTTCCTGAAAGAAAAAAATACATCAAATTTAATTGAATTTGTGATTAACTTTCCTAATACAAAGGTTAAAGAAAATAGTAAGTTAAAAAATTAATCTGAAGATGTCAAACAGAAAACATTCTCAAAAGTATGTTTAAATGATATTTGTTTAGGGCATAGGCAACACTGTCCTCTGAAAATAGAGGTATACTTATTTCCCATGATGGAGTTAATATCATCCCAAAGTCGATTGGTCATAACCGCAGTATGCTCCTTTTCAAGTCTTGATAAACTAAGAAATCGAGGTACTATTAAGTGTGATGAAAACTACAATTTAATTGACAATATGTATAAAAGAATTAGTCAGTGTTGTACTTGTATTTGCAAACAGGTCATGGTATTGAAAATGAAAATAAACTGAAAAGACAAGTCATTTTTTTTTAATCTTGAGCTTAGGGATTTCTGGAAAGCCAAACGTGTTTTCAATATTCTCTCTCCAATTTTGTGAAACTTTGAATAAAAAAAATAATAAAATCTATGCGGTCAAACGTGTTCATTTTTACTCATTGAAACATGACTAAGGTTGTTATTTGCAATTTTTATGACAAAAGTTTGTTTGTATCATCTGTCCTTAAAATGAACCATTGAGTTAAACAAACACTGTTATTTATTAAATTTAAAGAAAAGTTGAGTAGTGTAAGTAAAAAAAAATATATTTCGTGGTGGACTTTAATTCGTGGGTCTCTTCATACTTGAAAACAACGAAAATTAACACCATGAAAATTAGTGATTTCACAATATACGAGATTAAATGTTTCTTGAATTCTAATTTATTCTGCTTTCATCATTTTTGTGATCTGATGTTTAATGGCTTTGACCGTATCTTACGTTTATGTAAATTTTGCACTGCTATGTTGCAGCGCCTGTCGTCTGTGTAACTGCCTTCGTATGAGTGAAAAATTATTGAAAGGGACGTTAAGTAATACACAATCAATCAATCAATCTTTGCTAGAGACACTAATTGCAATGATAATGATTCATCTTAATTATCTGTATCCCGGAGTCTACAGTCTTGCCATATTATGTAAAAACATATATGCTTGTTTTTATTAGATTTGTATTGATATGTAATAAAAATGTTTTCATTATTAATTCATATTTATCTAAACATAAAAAATTACTTGTAAAAAAGAAAACATGCAAAGATGGATACTACCTTTCAAATATCATCTTTTATTCCTTGACAAAATTGTCCAAATATTTTTCTGTGATGTGCTAAAGAGTAGCGCTTTAGTCTACATGTCAATTGAAATAATTTTCCATGCAAAAAAGAAGTCTTTAAAAACACCTCTCTTAAAAGACAATAGGGCTAGTTAAAAAGCATAACACTCTTTTTAATGTATTTACACCGCTGATCAAATTTCACAGAGTGCTCCTTCTAAAACACATACAAAATTCAGCTTTTAACTTTACCTCAAACATAATAAATAAAAAGATATTGAGAAAATATGGATTAAAGTTGAATGTTGGTTATCATTCAGTACTTACATACCCATATGTTAAGATATT